TGACTGCGCACCAGTGCACAAAGCAAGGTCCATAAAGACACGGATGGGGGAGTTTGGGGGGGAGGAACGTGACTGGCCGCACAGAGTCCTGACCTCAACCCCATAGAACACCTTTGGGATTAATTAGAACGGAGACTGCGAGCCTGGCCTTCTCCTCCAACATCAGCACCTGACCTCACAAATGGTCCAACATTCCCATAGACAAACTCCTAAACCTTGTGGACACCTTCCCAGAAGAGGCGGAGCTGTTATAGCGGCAAAGGGCGGAGCCAACCCAATACTGAACCCTACGGACTAAGACTGGGATGTCATTAGAGGGCGGAGCCAACCCAATACTGAACCCTACGGACTAAGACTGGGATGTAATTAGAGGGCGGAGCCAACCCAATACTGAACCCTACGGACTAAAACTGGGATGCCATTAGAGTTCACGTGCGTGTAAAGGCGTCCCAATACTTTCGGCAATATAGCGTATGTATCGATCGGCATTAAACCTCATTAGTTTATCGGCACCCTGAAGCGATTTTCTTCTGCACTTTGGCGTTTGCGTGAACCGCGGCGGAGAACAGGAAATCGGATTACAATGGATTTCTCTGAAGAGTATATTATCTCGGGATCGCAGCTTATTCCTCACCGTCGGACATCCCGGCACTATTCTGCAAGGGACGGAAAGACGCACTCCAGACCAAACGTTCTGTTTTAATTGAGAAGTTTTGAAGATGCCGGGAAAAGGGGGAGAACCTCTGTATACGGCTTTAACCCCTTAACTGAAGCCTTGATGTCCAAAATTAAGTGACGCCAGTTAAAGTCACACATTTGTTTTTTTAAAGGAGATAAAATAGGATTTTCGTACTCACCGTAAAATCCTCTTCTTGGAGACCATTGAGGGACACTGGAAGTCCTAAACCTGCAGGATACAGTATACTGCCACCTACAGGCAGACTGGACACCAGCAAACAAAAACTGTAGGCCAGCTCAGGGAAGGAGCCCTCCAGTTACCATAATGAATGCCGATGCCGAGTATTTAGGGGAGTACTCGCCCAAATGCTCCAATGCCTAGCCCGATACCCAGACCTCCGGTATCAGGAAGCCGGGCAGCAAGTCATTGGCCTGGAAGCCGACTCCATGCTCCCTCGTCACCAAGTGCATGGAGCAGGCTTCCTGGCCAATAAGGAAGTTGTCCAGCATGTAATGACTCGCCTCCTAGCTTCCCGATTGATCGGGAAGCTGGCTAATCAGGAAGCTGGACGGCCAGTCACCTGGTGACAAGGGAAGCATGGAGCTGGCTTCCCGGCCAATCAGCAAGCCAGTCACTGTGTAATGACTCGCCGCCTGACTTCCTGATTGGTCAAGAAGCTGACCAATCAGGAAGCCAGGCGGCGAGTTATTACCCGTTAGTACCCAAAGGAATTACTTCCCGATTGGCCAGAAAGCCGGCTCCATACTTCGTCACCTGCTGAAGAGGGAGCATGGAGACGGCTTCCCTGCTAAATCGGGAAGCCAGGTGGCGAGTCTTTACACGCCGCCTGGCTTCCTTAAATGGGACTTCGGGTATCGGCGAGTACCGAAAAAAATAATAGGTACTTGGTAACTAGGGATGCACCGATACCGCTTTTCGGTATCATCATGCCTTACTACTGGGAGCATGATCGTAAACACAGAGGTGGGACCTGTGGCCCTCAATGGACATCAAGAAAATGATTTCATGGGGAGAACAGAATTCCTTGCACAATACCTCAGACAAGAGGGCAGAGGATCCAGCCACCGTGAATCAGCTTGCCCATAGGAACCTGTTAATTAAAAGGTTGCTCACACAGGGCTATGGACTCCCTTTGCGACAGTGCTAAATGGCTGAATGCCATCACATGGCTGAGTATCGCGCTCCCGCAAGTCCAGAAGCACCAGGCATTTCCTTTGGCTCCTGGCGCTGAATGGAAAGGCAGGGGAGATGAGAGAAGGAGTAGGTTCCGCTGCTGATGGGAGGAAGAGTAATGCAACCCTGACGGTTTGTCCTGAATGGGCAAAGTACAGATTTTAAGAAACACAGCTAGGTCACTTTCTTGCCTTAAAGTAGAACTATGGGGTCAGGGCTTTTCCCCATAGTTCTCCTTAGGGTAACGGGAGGACACAAACTAGCGTCCTCCCGTCACCCTAGGCTCAGTATATAGGGAGCTACAGCTCGCGGTATACTGAGACGCCGCAGCTGAAGCGGATCCCGACAATTATGCCGGGATCCGCCCAGCTGCGCAAGTGACAGCTGACTCTGCCTATCTAGAGGCAGAGCCAGCTGTACCCGCCCCCTCCCGTTCCACCAGTCAGCGCTGGAGGATCGGAGCGGGGAGGGGGGAATCCAGCCCCTCCCCTGTCACGGCAGAGAGCCATGACAGGATCGAGAGGTGAGCGAACGCCGGTATGTGTTCGCTCACCTCCCCATCTACTGAGCCGACCTGTGACAGTCTCATTGTCACAGGTCAGCTAGAACTATGAGGTGAGTGAAAAGCACTCCACCCCCCTCATAGTTCTCCTTTAAATGGAAGGTGAAGGAGCAGCAGAAGGATGAGGTGATCATTCTGCTCCACTCGGTTAGTGTTCCGTTAAAGCACACGTAGATACAGGAGACTTGATAGAATCTATACACGATACAGGAGACTTTCAGAATGCTGCTATACAGGAGATAAATAAAAATTTTTACTAGTGCATTTAACATTAAAAGAATTCCTGGACTGCATAGTATATAATGGCATTCATTTGTTTAATATCTGCCTGGAGTTCTTCTACAGCAGCTACAATTATGTTTGGTCGTAAAAGGAGAACTGAGGGGGGGAGGGGGGGTGCTTTTCACTCACCTCATAGTTCTAGCCGACCTGTGACAATGAGACTGTCACAGGTCGGCTCAGTAGATCGGGAGGTGAGCGAACACATAGCGGCGTTCGCTCACTTCTCGATCCTGTCACAGCTCTCTGCCGTGGCAGAGGAGGGGCTGGATTCCCCCCTCCGCCATCGCTGACTTGCGGAACGGACGGGGGCGGGTACAGCTGGCTCTGCCTCTAGATAGGCAGAGTCAGCTGTCAGTCACGCAGCTGGGCGGATCCAGACATAATTGTCGGGATCCGCTGCAGCGTCTCAGTGTACCGCGAGCTGTAGCTCCCTATATACTGAGCCTAGGGTGACGGGAGGACGCTAGTTTGTGTCCTCCCGTTACCCTGAGAACTATGGGGAAAAGACTTAACCCCATAGTTCTCCTTTAAGCACATCGGAGTGAGTTGTGTAAAGCATAATAGAATGTTTAAGGAAACCCGTCGTCCGGACACACTAGCGCTGCCACTGCTCACAGCAATTCTCTATTCTTCTATGGAAAGGAAAAGCGATCCTCAGCACACAAAACAGCTGTATATTAGTGCGAGCCAATCCTGTGCCGATAATATCTGATCACATCCCAATATTTTACATCCCAGCAAGGTCTTGTCCTGTCCGGGTAAAATCCAGAATACACTCCATAAAATAACGCAAGAAAACAGATTTAAATAAAAAAAAGTTTTATTAAAAACACAGAACGGGCAAGCGGAAAATACGACGCAACGGATGACCAAACTTTGTCCCAAAGCCGCACTCCGCAGGTTCTGGTAAAGATCTCGCCTTCGAGTCTGTAGGGTAGACCTGTATAGCAACAGGGACACCGGCACTTCAACTGCAGATCAAAATGGAGTCTATTTATTGACGTAGATGCAGCATATCACACTGGCGCAATGTTTGGGGGTCTCGCAGGATCCCCCTTCCTCAGGCAAAACAGGTGACAAAATGATGATGGAACTAGCGGTCAGGAGTGCGATGGGTTCGTGGACTGTTGTAGGGTAGACCTGCCACATTGACAGTCGTTTCCGGGCTAAGATCCCACGTTTTGTTCCCTGGGGCCCGAGTTTCCTTCACAGCACTAATTTAGAGGACAGATCCGCAGAAGATATCAAAGTTTAGATCTCGCGTCAAAGTTATTTTGCTGCAAAAAAAAGGTCTCCATAGGTCCGGCGGTGTACGATTATTGGTAGAGATGCTTAAAGCGACACTAAAAATTCAGGAGTCACATTAAAAAAATACATATGAACAACAATTTCTTATTTGTGTGTCACTCGGCTGCGGCTCCTCAAATCATCTCTGAATTGGTGCTGACACTGTCCTTCCTTCTGGAGGGTGACTACTTGTGTTCCCCATGGTCCCTGTGTGTGTTGTAAAGTAGTCACCGCTCCAAGCTCACTCCCGGGATGGACTACAATCTCAATGCAAATCAGTAAACTAAACATGAGATTGTAGTCCATCCCGGGAGTGAGCTTGGAGCGGTGACTACTTTACAACACGCACAGGGACCATGGGGAACAGACGTAGCCCCCCTCCAGAAGGAAGGGCAGTGTCAGCACCAATTCAGAGATGATTGGAGGATCTGCAGCCGAGTGATACACAAGTAAAGTTCATTGTTAAGGTAGTTGGATGCAACATTTTAAAATTTAACGCCTGAGTTTAGGATCACTTTAATTTTCATCGCTGAATGTGTAACGGAACTTCGTCACATTCACAATTTGGACTCAAAATCTTAATACATCATCATAGATGTTATTTTACTTTGGATAAAAACGGTGCCAGTAAACATTGAACTTCTCTGGTCCCCAAGTACATTTTTTTTGCCCTTAAAAGAATACATTATATATACAAAAGTGGTTTCAATAAAATACATAAAGCATCAAGAAGCATTTTGCCCCCCGGCAAAAAAAACCATTTCCAGGTCATTCCAATAACGCTGCGGCAGGTCACTTACTCACTTCAACATTTTTACTAACTTGACACAAATATAGGTTTTAAAAAAAAAAAATGAGTCCTCCCAAAAGTCTCTTCACTTTGCGCTCATCACAAGGACTCTGGAGGAGGAGGAGGGTACAGAGTCCTGATGGGGATAAGTTGATTTGAAACAGAACAGGAGCTCAGGACAAGGTCATTTCATGGACACACCCCACCATGTGCTGAGCTGGGGGTGGACTGAGCCTCGTGTAGGTGAAAGTAAAGGTTTCACAGAATCCATTACATCAGAGGCTGCGCAGAGTTCCGGGGTCCGCGGCTGCGGAGCTTCAGCTGGCTACTATGCTCAGGATGTTGGCCTGTTGAAATGCAAAGAAGACACGGTGCAAGTTATAGGTACTGTGTGTCTAAGGAATACTACTGTAGAACAATTTGGGGTCAATTATATTCCAACTCTTCACATAGAAAGATTAGATAAGAGACAACAATGCAAAACTAGCTACTTTTAAAGAAGGCCCAACCTCAATCTGTGTGGAAAAAATAGAATATTGGAGCACTACACTCCCTGATCTAGTTAGATGGCCCCCCATTAGAATGTCCTCCGATTGGGAGGCCCCCCCATTAGAATGTCCTCCGATTGGGAGGCCCCCCCATTAGAATGTCCTCCGATTGGGAGGCGTTCCCCCATTAGAATGTCCTCCGATTGGGAGGCCCCCCCATTAGAATGTCCTCCGATTGGGAGGCGTTCCCCCATTAGAATGTCCTCCGATTGGGAGGCGTTCCCCCATTAGAATGTCCTCCGATTGGGAGGCGTTCCCCCATTAGAATGTCCTCCGATTGGGAGGCGTTCCCCCATTAGAATGTCCTCCGATTGGGAGGCGTTCCCCCATTAGAATGTCCTCCGATTGGGAGGCGTTCCCCCATTAGAATGTCCTCCGATTGGGAGGCGTTCCCCCATTAGAATGTCCTCCGATTGGGAGGCGTTCCCCCATTAGAATGTCCTCCGATTGGGAGGCGTTCCCCCATTAGAATGTCCTCCGATTGGGAGGCGTTCCCCCATTAGAATGTCCTCCGATTGGGAGGCGTTCCCCCATTAGAATGTCCTCCGATTGGGAGGCGTTCCCCCATTAGAATGTCCTCCGATTGGGAGGCGTTCCCCCATTAGAATGTCCTCCGATTGGGAGGCGTTCCCCCATTAGAATGTCCTCCGATTGGGAGGCGTTCCCCCATTAGAATGTCCTCCGATTGGGAGGCGTTCCCCCATTAGAATGTCCTCCGATTGGGAGGCGTTCCCCCATTAGAATGTCCTCCGATTGGGAGGCGTTCCCCCATTAGAATGTCCTCCGATTGGGAGGCGTTCCCCCATTAGAATGTCCTCCGATTGGGAGGCGTTCCCCCATTAGAATGTCCTCCGATTGGGAGGCGTTCCCCCATTAGAATGTCCTCCGATTGGGAGGCGTTCCCCCATTAGAATGTCCTCCGATTGGGAGGCGTTCCCCCATTAGAATGTCCTCCGATTGGGAGGCGTTCCCCCATTAGAATGTCCTCCGATTGGGAGGCGTTCCCCCATTAGAATGTCCTCCGATTGGGAGGCGTTCCCCCATTAGAATGTCCTCCGATTGGGAGGCGTTCCCCCATTAGAATGTCCTCCGATTGGGAGGCGTTCCCCCATTAGAATGTCCTCCGATTGGGAGGCGTTCCCCCATTAGAATGTCCTCCGATTGGGAGGCGTTCCCCCATTAGAATGTCCTCCGATTGGGAGGCGTTCCCCCATTAGAATGTCCTCCGATTGGGAGGCGTTCCCCCATTAGAATGTCCTCCGATTGGGAGGCGTTCCCCCATTAGAATGTCCTCCGATTGGGAGGCGTTCCCCCATTAGAATGTCCTCCGATTGGGAGGCGTTCCCCCATTAGAATGTCCTCCGATTGGGAGGCGTTCCCCCATTAGAATGTCCTCCGATTGGGAGGCGTTCCCCCATTAGAATGTCCTCCGATTGGGAGGCGTTCCCCCATTAGAATGTCCTCCGATTGGGAGGCGTTCCCCCATTAGAATGTCCTCCGATTGGGAGGCGTTCCCCCATTAGAATGTCCTCCGATTGGGAGGCGTTCCCCCATTAGAATGTCCTCCGATTGGGAGGCGTTCCCCCATTAGAATGTCCTCCGATTGGGAGGCGTTCCCCCATTAGAATGTCCTCCGATTGGGAGGCGTTCCCCCATTAGAATGTCCTCCGATTGGGAGGCGTTCCCCCATTAGAATGTCCTCCGATTGGGAGGCGTTCCCCCATTAGAATGTCCTCCGATTGGGAGGCGTTCCCCCATTAGAATGTCCTCCGATTGGGAGGCGTTCCCCCATTAGAATGTCCTCCGATTGGGAGGCGTTCCCCCATTAGAATGTCCTCCGATTGGGAGGCGTTCCCCCATTAGAATGTCCTCCGATTGGGAGGCGTTCCCCCATTAGAATGTCCTCCGATTGGGAGGCGTTCCCCCATTAGAATGTCCTCCGATTGGGAGGCGTTCCCCCATTAGAATGTCCTCCGATTGGGAGGCGTTCCCCCATTAGAATGTCCTCCGATTGGGAGGCGTTCCCCCATTAGAATGTCCTCCGATTGGGAGGCGTTCCCCCATTAGAATGTCCTCCGATTGGGAGGCGTTCCCCCATTAGAATGTCCTCCGATTGGGAGGCGTTCCCCCATTAGAATGTCCTCCGATTGGGAGGCGTTCCCCCATTAGAATGTCCTCCGATTGGGAGGCGTTCCCCCATTAGAATGTCCTCCGATTGGGAGGCGTTCCCCCATTAGAATGTCCTCCGATTGGGAGGCGTTCCCCCATTAGAATGTCCTCCGATTGGGAGGCGTTCCCCCATTAGAATGTCCTCCGATTGGGAGGCGTTCCCCCATTAGAATGTCCTCCGATTGGGAGGCGTTCCCCCATTAGAATGTCCTCCGATTGGGAGGCGTTCCCCCATTAGAATGTCCTCCGATTGGGAGGCGTTCCCCCATTAGAATGTCCTCCGATTGGGAGGCGTTCCCCCATTAGAATGTCCTCCGATTGGGAGGCGTTCCCCCATTAGAATGTCCTCCGATTGGGAGGCGTTCCCCCATTAGAATGTCCTCCGATTGGGAGGCGTTCCCCCATTAGAATGTCCTCCGATTGGGAGGCGTTCCCCCATTAGAATGTCCTCCGATTGGGAGGCGTTCCCCCATTAGAATGTCCTCCGATTGGGAGGCGTTCCCCCATTAGAATGTCCTCCGATTGGGAGGCGTTCCCCCATTAGAATGTCCTCCGATTGGGAGGCGTTCCCCCATTAGAATGTCCTCCGATTGGGAGGCGTTCCCCCATTAGAATGTCCTCCGATTGGGAGGCGTTCCCCCATTAGAATGTCCTCCGATTGGGAGGCGTTCCCCCATTAGAATGTCCTCCGATTGGGAGGCGTTCCCCCATTAGAATGTCCTCCGATTGGGAGGCGTTCCCCCATTAGAATGTCCTCCGATTGGGAGGCGTTCCCCCATTAGAATGTCCTCCGATTGGGAGGCGTTCCCCCATTAGAATGTCCTCCGATTGGGAGGCGTTCCCCCATTAGAATGTCCTCCGATTGGGAGGCGTTCCCCCATTAGAATGTCCTCCGATTGGGAGGCGTTCCCCCATTAGAATGTCCTCCGATTGGGAGGCGTTCCCCCATTAGAATGTCCTCCGATTGGGAGGCGTTCCCCCATTAGAATGTCCTCCGATTGGGAGGCGTTCCCCCATTAGAATGTCCTCCGATTGGGAGGCGTTCCCCTATTAGAATGTCCTCCGATTGGGAGGCTTATTACCAGACTGCTTTGTAGTACAGAGCAGAGCCAAGCCAATATTTGAATACTGCATGCAAGCAGAACTATAAAGCGGTATATAGTTAGAAATATACTTGCCTTTAAAAATGAAGAGACCAGTTTGGCAGACATCCCTTCCATTATTGCAAGATCTTCCACCTGTAAAGGGAACAGACCGGACTTATCAAGCCAGCAAGGCCACTTAACTTATGTCCTCTACAAAGGCCATACAGGTCACAGAGTCCTTACCTTCTAAATGCTGCCCAGAAGAGCATGCGAGCGCCACACTTTGGCATTCAAATTTCTACCAGCTCCCATGGTTGTGAACCCATAATTGGTGGTTTAACTCTCCCTGAATCTACCAAACACGCGACTTACCAGTTATTGCTAGGCTGACCCTTATAAAAAGTCTGCTACAGGTTTAGCACTGCCTTAAAGTTTATTACACCAAGTGACTGCATGGCACCACAGCATACTGCCCGCTGAAGAGGAGCCGGCATGTTTTTGTACACGGTGAACCAGCCCAAGATGGCACGGTTCCATTTCCTCACTTACCATTTTGAACGGGCCATTATGCTCTCTCCAGCCCACGATGAGTTTGGCTTTCTTGTCTCCAATCTTTTGCAGAGACTTCAGCTCTTTTATCGAGCCATTGTTGAGGAGATGAAGGATTTTTTCCCGTCCGCTCTGGACAACGTCCGACCGCATGGTCACTTCCCAGCTGGGCTCGTTCTCCTGGCCGGAGGAGGCTTTTTTCTAGGGAGACATTGAAGAACGTGAAGGAAATTCCCTAAAAACATGGCTGCATTCACAAGCTTTGCTGTACCAGCTCTCTGATCGTATCCAACCTACCCGTCTACTTTTCTTTACAACTGGGATCACTTCTTCCTGGATATTGGACTGGTTTGTAAGGCCTGAACGAGAAAGGAGGAGAACACAAATGAGTTGAAGAGCAAAAGAAAAAAAACCTTGCAGTAGTTAGAACAAAACGTTCAGTGCAGAGCAAGCACAAAACATGCTTTAGATGGAGTCAGACTAGATATGGTCCCCTGCTGAGTCTTTGCATATCTCTAGTACCCCAGCAGGTATTACCTGGACCCTAATCTACAGCCACGTGGTAAAGCGTGGTCTATATTTATTCCTTGAGAGATCCACTAGAGCAGTCTCATCCAGCCAGGATTCCAGGAAATCCTAGGTTTCCACTAGAGCAGGGATGTCCAAACTCCGGCCCTCCAGCTGTGGTGAAACTACAAATCCCATGAAGCATCTCTCTCCTGGAGTCATGTCTGTGGCTGTGAGAATGTTACAAAACCTCATGGGATTCGTAGTTCCACCACAGCTGGAGGACAGCAGTTTGGACATCCCTGCTCTAGAGGGTCCTTGAACAGTGGTGAATTGACTTTCCCACCTGAAGGGGTCTTCACAAGTCTCTCTCTCTCTCTCTCTCATGTAAGCAGCCAATGACTCCAATAATCCTTTTAGCGGTCTGTAAGAGGTCCTTCTACACATCGGCCACAATTTACCAACATACAGCAAGCGGTAGAGTCTTCAATTTTTTTTCCGCACGGGTTCCCCAAGACCTGACATTTCAAAGGTTACTTTTGTGATAAAGAAAAAGTTAAGATTGCGCTAGAGTGCAGAGGGGACACATTTAAAGGCGAACTATGGGTTTCCCCATAGTTCTCCTTAGGGTAACGGGAGGACACAAACTAGCGTCCTCCCGTCACCCTAAGCTCAATATTCCCGCGAGCTACAGCTCCCAGTATACTGAGACGCCACAGCTGAAGCGGATCCCGACAATTGTGCCGGGATCCGCCCAGCTGCGTGACTGACAGCTGGCTCTGCCTATCTAGAGGCAGAGCCAGCTGTAGCCGCCCCCTCCCCCATCCGTTCCACCAGTCAGCGCTGGCGGATCGGAGCGGGAATCCAGCCGTGACAGGATCGAGAGGTGAGCGAGCGCCGGTATGTGTTTGCTCACCTCCCGATCTACTGAGCCGACCTGCGACAGTCTCATTGTCACAGGTCGGCTTAGAACTATGAGGTGAGTGAAAAGCACCCACCTCATAGTTCTCCTATAATACATCCTTCACTTTGGTGGATCCCCCCTAGCAATATATTTATATTTGGACCAGATGAAATACTTCTCACAAGTAAGCCAACGTGCCCAACACGTGTGATTGAGTGAACACCCCACTTGACAGTCATGAGAAACATACCAGCAATAATTACTGCACATGTAAAAGCTGTACAAGTATTGCTTTGCTGGCCATGAATCCTCAGAAATGATCAGTCCTTTGTATTATCTTCAATTCTGAAAGCAGCAGCTCTGCTCTTTGACTTCCATTTTTCGAAAGGCGCTGGGTTTCCTTTTGTAGTTATAATTTATGCATATTTTTTCAGCACACAAAGCCTGATAGCTGAAATATGAATGTATTCTATAGGCATCAGTTATAAAAACATTAAAGCCCAACACGAGCCAATTTTGTATAGAGCGGAAAGCCAGAACCTTTGTCAGCTGCTTATATATTATAAGTAGTAAGGGGCAGTGACAATAAAAAGATTAACTAGAAATTTTTTTTCGAGTTACAGGACAGTAATCTGGAACGCTGGGTTATACAGCCACCTGCAGAAAACTGAACACTGGCAAAGGCAAAGCTGTAAGAACAGCACAGCAGATCAGACCAAACTGGAGAAAAGACAATTCGATCCTCGGAAAACTTCCTGGAATGGAAATTCATGGCCTTGCGCCACGAAAAACACACTTTTCAGGTGTAACGGTAGATTTTACGAGAAGTCAACTTCCTATGTTTTAAAAAACAAACAAAAACATAGGGATAATAAAATCAGGTAGGCTCCTATACTTCAAGACCCGGGGCTCAGCAACCAGGCATGCAAGCCAGCAACTGGGAAGCCGGGTGGTCCATGGGACAGAAGATCTGCATGATCTGGGAGGGCGCACGAGAGTATTCGCTAGGAGCGCATACGAGGTCAGTAGCACATCCACCCTAGCCAGTTCTGTGCAAATAGTATGGAGCAGGTAGGTGAAGAAAAAAAAAAAAAAAAAAAAAATGCAGTATGCCTTTCCATAGAAACTGATTCCATAGAGTCACCCACTGAGAAGCCAGAGGCACCTGCACCAGGGGACCAATATGCAGGCTCTTGTTCAATCTGGAGGTCCATGTCCATCACCCCCCCACCTTTGACAGAGGTCTAGAAACACCTCGGTGTGAACAGACAAACTCTCCAATGTCCAGACGACAGTCTGCTTGTCAATTTTCCACACCCGGGCATGTACAGGACAGACAGGGCTGGAACATGGCTTTTCGCCCAAGCAGGAATCAGGTGCACTGCTCTTGGCTGTGAGACTTGTTCCTCCAGCATGGTTGATGCCCTGAGATCAAAGAGTGAGAACCAGGGCTAGCACCTTGGTGGAGACCAAAAGGTGCAGTGGACACATCAAAAAGGAAAGGCCCTTTCCCAACGAAACACCTTCCCCTGCCCTAATCCCCTTTTGTTCTTTCCCACACCTGGCCCTCCAATCTAAAAATGAAAAAAAGGGCCTCAGTCATGAAGGGGTTAATACCCGTTCTACTGCTTCTGTTATACAGTCTGCAGGGCTCTGCACAATGATGTGGCTGTACATATTTCTGTTCGTGTTCCTTGTTTGCAAGGCTTGCATGCCCTACCTTTGTTATTTTTGTAACCTTCATGCGAAAAAAAAAAACTGACAAAAAACAAATAAAACCTTTGTGAAAGAAAAAGGAAAGGCCACAAATTGCTAACTGTGTCCCAACAGCAAAACACAGGTCGCATTGATGCGCTGGAAAGATGGGAATGTGCAAGTACAGCCCAGAACATCACAGTTGGGAGGGAAAAATAAAATGGTTGACGGGCTAATACTGTGAAGTCAAAGACTACTAGAGACTCACAACAGAGAGTTTCAGCTTAGAAACATCCGCTGCCTTTTTACATTAAAGGTCTGGCAGGCTGCCGAGATTCTGCTGCCATAGAAAATAAAAGGAGCTGTGATTTTAGAGCCTTCGTTGCGAATTTGAGATCAATTTCTCTAGAATGCCTGCAGCTACAGAGGTGAATGTGTTTGTTTTAAAGCTCTTTAACTGCCTAGTCAGAATGTGTGTTACACGTTAATGTGCATAGTCTGGGTACAAGTTCACTTTAATCTTCTCATTCAGCTCTGCTTCCATTCAAGAGGACTGGTTTAGAAACTTTACAGGAAGCCCACCTGTCAGAGCAAGGTCCTCAGTTTCACATGTCGCAGGGTGGAAGCACTGTGGTTACACTCTGCTAAGGGGAACACCGGGAGAGCCGATTGAATCACTGACTTATTACAGTAGACGAGGCTTAGAAAGCTAGGCAGGCTCTGTCCTCATTTAAGACGGCTTTACGGGAATTCATGGTGTGGTCGGCAAGACGTTAAAAAGGATTTCCCATGTAACGGCAGTGTGGAAGTTTTGTGGTTACACTTTGCTGCACAGAGGACAGATGTGAAGAGCCAAGTGATTGAGCGCCTGGGGATGCAAATAAATTCAGCACCTCCTGTCCCCAGGTCCTTCCTCGTGTCAGATTTACGACTGCACTGCAGCTGAAAGCCCGTACTGCAGTGACAGCTCAGAAAGGGTTATAACAGAAAGATAAAAGGAGATATGATATATTAATCCAGTTCTACATTCTCACAAATCATTTCAATGTAAAAATGCCTCAATCGGTCCTCATATTGGTCACTGTAGTCAGGATGTAGACCAAGCAGGAAGCTCTGTTACTGAACATGGCTCTACTGCATTGCACAGAGCCATCAGCCTAAGAGCTTGCTGATGGAAGGAATGACAAAAAAAAATGGGGAATGGGGGGGCGACCCTCAGTGTGCTGCTGCTCCTTCACTTTCCAATCACAGACCGGGAGAGGCTTTTGACTAAGCTCTAGTGATTGAACTTCTACAGAAATACAGAAGGTCAGGATCAACATGGCTATGTCCAGCAGTGGCTGAACAGAACTACAAATCCCGTGGCAGTAGCAGCAGCCAAAACATAGGCATTGCAACTGTATTTAGCTGCTGGCCTATAGTAATGCTAAAACAGTATAATGCATTTTTATTTTGTAAGAATACAGATTAGGAATGGTTGTTATCGCGGATATTATTTTAAATTACCAGAACCGTCTAGCACTAGTTATACCAGAATCATCACTTTCGTTTTTAGAACATTTCAAGCTGGGAGTCAGGTCTTCGAGGTCACATTAAGTCTGAAAATAGCACCCTGTGGGCCGCCTGATCTCTTCCGATTTTCAGGGAAAGGGCAGAATGGTTAGACAAAGCCCTGTAATTAAGAGGAATGTAAATACATACAAGCAGCAACCGTCTGACTACAGGGGATTTCTGTGCCCTCGACAATTAAATACAACCTGCGTCCAGGGATTTACGGCCGTACGCGACTGTATGCAAGTGCCATAATATACCCACATACAGCCATGGACTTCTATGGGAGGCTGTACACGCAGCACCTGTGGCTACCTGGTAGGATGAAATAGGCCAGAATTGGTGTTTCTTTGTGTGCATGAACCATGAAGAAAATGTTTCTTTACTGAGTAAACAAAACCGACAACTATAGTCAGGGCCCTAAAGCTCACACAATATGTTCTAAACCAGGGGTGCCCACAATTTTTGTGTTAGGATCTACTTTTCAAATAACGAGCTACATGAGATCTACCAACGAAAAAAAAAAACCTCCCTCGCTCTCTCCCCTCGCTCATCCTCCTGGCCGTCTCCCCTCGCTCATCCTCCTGGCCGTCTCCCCTCGCTCATCCTCCTGGCCGTCTCCCCTCGCTCATCCTCCTGGCTCACCTTGCTGTATTTTGCAACAGGCTGTGTAAACTAATATTCTTTGATGTAATACATAGCACTTCAACCACCAGTATCCACCAGAAAGGTGTCAGGGAGCTCGGCTCAGCAGACTCGGGCTGATAGGTAATCATGCGTGGGCAGCTAAATAAATATACCAAAATGGAATAAAGGGGCCGCCAGTCACACCCTTCCTGATCTACCAGCATCAGCTTTGAGAGCTACTAGTAGATCACCATCTACCTAATGGGCACCCCCTGGTATAGAGGGTCATAGGTGGGGTCATAAGTGGCCCCCAGAGTTCTAACCCAATGTTTGTCAACTTACAAGGTGTCCTCAAATGCAGCCCCAGATGTCTCCAAAAAAGCATATAATATGGTCACAGACTGAAGGAAAGATTGTAAGCTCTCACGGGAAGGGCCCTCCTAAACCTCCTGTATTGAAATTGTATTGTTAACTATATCGTTTCCCTGCATGTGGTAAAGTGCTGAGTAAACTGTTAGCGCTATATAAAATCCTGTATAATAATAAAAATAGAGACTAAGGTCAAGCTGCAGGGGAGAGTCAAAGGCTAGGGAGAGCTCACATTAAACTGCTAGAGATTACCCTACAAACCAATGCATCCACTACTGACTGCTTGGGTCTGAGGGCCATACTTAAGACTGCAAAGGGAAGCATGTGACCTCTCAACGCAGATTTGACAGAGGTCTAACCTTTCTCACTTTCACATGCAAGCTTCAAGAATTATAAGGCTAATCAATTTTTTGAACATGGATATAAACTTTTTTTTTTTAAAGATTGCAGTGTGGAAGGGTTAGAACCCCCAACAGGTTTTAACTGATGTCTGTGCCCCCTGCTAAAGAGGGCCATCCTCTGTCCTTAGTAATACGATATTTTACAGTCCGCAGAAGTTGGGAGGAGAATTTTAATCGGGACACGGTCCAGTGGCACCTCAGAGGGGGATTTCCCCTTTGGAGAGATGTCTGCTTGTGTCTTTGTGACAGAAGTGAATGGAACAAACAAACAGGAACCATACCGCACTCCTTATCGGGATTCCCACTTGATGAAGGTGGGTGCTCGAAATGACTGCGGATGGCACCGCCACACATGAATAGAAAAATGTCACCAGCACACCCATAAGTTGAAAAAGCAAAATATTTTATTGCCAATAGCTGTATCTCATTGGTAAGCGCTTTTGGGGGCTGGCAGGGTCCCCTTCATCAGCCTTAGAGACTTATGGTGTGCTGGTGACATTTTTCTATTGTAGAAGTGAATGGAAATCTCCCCAAAGAGGGCATGGACTCAAAAAACCCTCACGAAGGTTTTAACCATGACCTACTCCAAAGCTTAATAAAACTGCCACAGAAGTTAGAAAAACAGAATGTGCCCACACAAGCTCTCCCAGGTACATAAATGTAATTTAGAGAGCATTTGTGACCCGCCCCCAGGACAGTACCCGACTGCTCGAGCTCCTCCTGCATTCCAGCAGTCAGTTCTCCAGGATTTGCCCTCGAATGCTCACCCTGCAGGGGCAGAACACGGAGCACCTTCTTGGCCTTGGCGGTGGAAGTTGCCCGAGAGCGTAGAGGAACCCGGAACATGCTTTCGCTCACGCTGGAATCGGAGAAGTCCAGGTCGGAACTATTAGATTTTTCCAGACGGGCTTCAGCTGCTAGAGCCTTCTCCTCCAGCTCCTTCTGCTTCTCCTTCAGCCTCTGAAGAACACCGTGAACAAAAATTCAATGAATGATATACTGGATAGACGCACCATAATAACAGATATACAATTAATTATAGGAATAAACCCAAAGTCAACTGCCATAGTGAGCAAACAGGCGCAGGCTGCAAAAGCTGCCTTTAAAGTAACAATAACCTTTTTATGTCATGTCAGCAGCAGTGCCGGCTTGTGCAAAAGTTTACATTCCCTCAGTCTACTTTCTACTGGAAAGGATTAGATCCATATGTGCTGTAACATGCTCACCCGTCTCTCCTGGGTGCACGAGTCATTGCAGCATTGGGGGTCCCCGGTTCAAATACCAGTCAGGACACTATTAGCAAGGAGTTTGCATGTTCTCCCTGTGCTTGTGTGGGTTTCCTCCGGGTACTCTGGTTTCCTCCCACACACCAAAGACATGCTGAAAGGTTAATTGGCTCCTGTCTAAAATCAGCCTTGTGTGTATGTGAGATAGGGACCTTAAAAGGAGAACTATGGGGTTAAGTCTTTTCCCCATAGTTCTCCTTAAGGTAACGGGAGGACTCAAACTAGCGTCCTCCCCTCACACTAGGCTCAGTATACCGCGAGCTGTAGCTCACGGTATACTGAGACGCCGCAGCTGAAGTGGATCCCGACAATTGTGCCGGGATCCGCCCAGCTGTGTGACTGACAGCTGGCTCTGCCTATCTAAAGGCAGGGTTTTCCAGCCTGCTTGTTCGACGGAAGACGTGCGACCGTACAGTAGAAACGGTCGGACGCCTTCCATACACTGCACGATTCTCGTATGATCGCGGGATTTCCCGCGATTCTCGTACGAGAAATCGTGCAGTGTATGGGCACCTTTAGATTGTAAACTCTTTGAGGGCAAGGACTGATGTGAAGGTGCACTATGTAAAGTGCTGTGTAAAAATGGTCCGTGTTATATAAATACCTGTAATAAATCCATGGTGGGTGTCAGCAGGAAGCATCCATTCGCCTATCTATTCGGACTGCTATAAATCCAGAAGTGACTTGTTTCAGAGCGGTCATTCCCCAGCTGGGGAAAAAGGTAATGGAGCACCGTCTGTGCTTCATTAACTTCAAAATGGACTACTGTTGTCTCCTTAAAGAGAACCTGCACTAAGCTATAACATAGCACAGACTACGATAGCAATAAAGTTTAAAAAAAAGCTGCAGACTCCTCCAGCTCAGTGAGCAGAGATGAAGGGATGAGATCAGCTCTGCCTCTGTGCATGTAGGTAATGCCGATTTGACCTGCACAGTTATCTCACCTCAATCTCCATCTGGCTCTCTTCCCATTTCTTCAGCAGAGCCATCCGCTCCCTTTTCGGGGTGCTTAGAAGTTGGGTCTCCATCCTTCCTTTCTCGGTGAGGATCTTATCCAGTTTCAGCAGTCTCTCCACCACAGACGGGTCCAGCGAGGCCAGGTTGAGTTTGTGTCTGCAGACAAAATGAAGAATTACAGGCAGTCTGATCCTGAACATTGCTTGGTAATGGCAAATATAGGACAAGGGACTCACTTCCGGACACTTTCATTGCAGGAATCGGGAGACTCGTCCACAGAGTCTGATTTGGTTTTCTTTAATTTCTGAGATGGGGCAGTGGTATCAGCATCTTCCCGAGGCCTCTTCATGGTAGGTTGAACTGAAGATGTGAATAGTACAGAAAAGGTCTTTAGTAATAAACTTTTCTATAATATTAATATAAATATTAGGGATGCACCGATACCGTTTTTTCGGTATCAACTACGAGTACCTTTATTTATATTTCGGTACTCACCGATACCGCGTACTTCCGCTAGCATGGAGCTGGCTTCCCGGGCAATCACGAAGCCAGGAAGCGGGTAATGACACGTTGCCAGGCTTCTTGATTGCCAAGGAAGCAGGCTCCATGCCGTTTGGCGAACTCGATGCTGTTTGGCCGGCTTCCCAGCCAATCAGGAAGCCAAGTCATTACCCGCCGCCCGGCTTGCTGATTGGATGGGAAGCTGGCTGCAAGTTCCCTTGCGGCACTGCTCTTCAGAGGAAATCTCTGACCGGAAGTTCTGGTGCCAAGGGAGGGTATCTGAGCATTTGGGCCAGTACGAGTAGTGGCCCAAATACTCTGTATCGGCACATCCCCCATTAGGGGGCAGTTTTGACATAAGGTAGCAAAGACCTGCTTCTACCAGTATGGCTGCCTCCACACAGACACAAGGCATGGTATGTCAGTATAGATAACTCCTGCACTGCAAACACACACAAGAGGGCCCCAGATCATTGCCACAATGTAGTTTGATATCAAATAAATTATCCTCAGTTCTGATTGGAAGCTGCAAAATTCACACACCTCAGCCCCTGAAAATTCATGAATATGGTGTAAATATCAGAGGAAGAGACTAGTACATGCTAGCTTCTTTATCCCGGTATATCAGCTTCATAAAGCTGAACTTTAGGCAGATATAAGACCAATGATTGCAGAGCTTTCATTCAATGTATTTAAATGCAAGCAGTTTAAGTAACTAAATTTGACCTTGTGTTAGCTGTACAGCAGATCTCAGACTGGGAGAAGCAGCACAAAGAGCCAATCAGTGCTACAGTGCTCAAATGCCAAGGAGCAGCATGCGGATAGGAGAAGAGAACATATGACCATATAAAGGGAGATACCTCCCTTTATATGGTCAGCCATTTGTCTGGAGTTCACTTAATCTCACACAGATGTGATTGCTCCTGAGGTATAAAAATCTTGATCCAGTTGGGTGGAAAGCCCGCTCTCTTACCTGGAGCATGAACGGTTTCCTGACTGAAGGGTTTGTTGATGATCTGTTTGGACTTGGCAGCAAAGTTGAGGGCGGTCAGCGTGTCAAAGTAATAATTCTGCTCCGGCGCGATGTTCGTTATCATAACGCTGTGGGCAGAACCACCGAGTGAATCCTAGGCAGCAAAAGCGGAAAACGTATAAGAACACAAAAAAAATTGCAATTACACTTATCTGGAGTTCTTCTTTAACATCACATAGGATAAATCTGGGTAGGATTGTAAAACAAGTAAAAAAGTAAGCAGCACGTTTTTTGGGGGCTATGCCATTTGAATAGGAATAGAGCTGCAACAATTATTCGATTAAGTCGATTAAAACCGACGATGGAAAAACGTTGTCAACATTTTCCATCGTCGATTCATCGGCTAAAATTCTAATTTCCTGCTCGCTGCTGCACGCCGCTCACGCACGCTGCTTACGCCACGGGATCCACCCCCCTTCTGAGGAAGTCGCATGACGAAACGCGTCGAGGAGGGTAGATGCTAAGTTTAGCCAGACACGAAGCTTCACGTTTGTCTCTGTGCTGTTTTTAGCTGGTCGGTATATTTTTTTGCCTTGTAAGCCAATTTTTGGAATAAAAGTTTATGGCTTTATATACTGCGCAATGAAGGTTCTTTCTTTCTCTTTTATTTATCTCTGAAAAACCCTGCGGGACAAACGGCAAAGTATATTATTATTTTTTCCCAAAAAAACCGGACTCCTCATCTGGGAGATATAGCCAAACGGCTTAGAGGAGAAAATCAACTGCTTCAGCTGCTGAGACCCGCGGGGAATACACCTGTGCTAAAACCTAATCCCGGCATCACTCACTAAAAGTTTTCTACCAACTTCACTCTGGTGAGTACCCACCCGAGAGGGACAGTTCGGAACAATTCGAAGCACATTGCTGTTTTTGCACATTTGTACATTTGCACACGGAACTTACCGTTCACCTGTTACCCGAGAGGGACAGTTTGGATCAATCTCAAGTACACTGCTATTTTT